ACATTTTGGAGACATTTATCAAAATAAAGATTTTTTTTTGGTCCATTTTGTCCATTTTATTTCATTTATCATTTTTTTTAATTCTGTGTCGTTGCCGTTTTGGAGAACAGAATTTCAAGTGTGTATAGAGAGAATCAATAAGAATGGATGGAAAAAAAAAAAACTCTTCAAATCAAACTAATTTGATTGAATGGGTCGTTTGAAACAATACATTTTGGAGACACTTTGTTCCTCCCGAACCAGAGGGTTTATCAAAATAAAGTTTTTTACATTTTTTCAGCTTCTTCCAGTCCATTTTGTCCATTTTGTTTATTTTATTTCAGTCGGATTCATCATGATTTTTAATTCTGTGTCGTTGCCGTTTGGAGAACATGTATGATTTTTCTTCTTTGAGAATTTCAAGTGTGTATCTCCGGATTCAAATTCGGTGTGTTCGTCATTTGTCATCATCATCGGATGGGTCGTTTGAAACGATGATGATGATGATGATGATGAAACAACGTATGAATCAAATGAATCGGGAAATGAATCAAATGTGACGATTCGTTGGAACAAGGGAACAAATTTTTTTTTCTCTCTCATCAATACATCATTCAAGAGGCATAAATTGATTCCGGAGATTCAAAAAAAAAAAAAAAAAAAAATAACCGGACTTACAACACTAACGGAAGATAAAAAAACGTCACACACACACACATACAGAATCTCGTTTGTTTGCGGCACAATATTCTAGTGTATCTGTGCGATGGTCAACATATAAACATGAGGTGTGACTGACCATCACCAGTGTCTATAAATAGACAACAAACGAAAAAAAAAAATAATGCCTATGGACAATTTTTCTTATCAATTGCTCTATATTTCGTTCGGTAGAATTGTGGAATATTTGTAATTGAAATCGACTATTTTGGTTTCATTCATTTTCTCATCGTGTAAATAATCGTCATCATCGACGATGCTTGAATGACCATCACTATGTGTGTGTGTGTGTGTGGATGATTGGACATTCAACAACAACAACAACAATAATAATGTGGAAACATACAAATATTTGTTGTGTGTGTGTGTGTGTAATGCCCCCAAAACAACAACATCGAGAAATAAACATCTGGGAAAACAAATGAAGATCACACACACACACACACACACACACTTGAACGATGAAAAGTTCTGATAGCTTTTCAAGAATCCAGAATAAAATAGGAAATGGAAATGAAAAGATTTTGTTCCATGAGAGAAAAAAAAAGTTTCACAATTATTGTGTAATGTTCACTTGTGTAAAATTTGTATATCTCAAGTATACCGTGTTTTTAAGATTAAGATTGGTCCATTCACAAACAATGTATATGTGTACCGTTACACACACTGGTGGATGTAACGAACCAAATTACTAAAAAAAAAAAATTTGGATCACAAGAGATTCGAAACAGAAAAAAATTTTTCATTCAGAATCAATCATCACTATTCATAATTTGTCGATTATTTTTCTATTCACAGTTGTTGTTGTTGTTGTTGTTGTTGTTATTTACTTGGAACATAAATCGTTATATTCATGGTTCTATGAACATTTGTTGTTGTTGTTGTTTGGATTTTTTTTTACTACTTGAAAGTTTCAAAAAAAACAAAGTTTAAAATAAATGTTTAAACGATGCGAAAAAAAGACCATGGCAAGTTGAAATTTATAGATTCACAGATTCAACCAGGAAAAAAAAAAAAAAAAAAAAAAAAAAAAAACGATCAGAATTGATTGTGAGAGCTGAGAAAGAGAGAGAAACAAAAAAAAATTTGATACTTTTGGGACTTTTACCAACTAAATAGTGTGTGTGTGTGTGTGTGTGTGTGTGTATGCGGTATTGGATGTGCCAAATATGATAAGCAACAGCAACAACGAATATGGCTGATGTTTTTTTTTTGGTTCAAATTCGATTCCATTCAATTCCTTGTCATCATCATCATCATCATCATCCAAATGATTTGTATCAAGTGTGAATTGAGTAAAAACCGACCGACCGACTAGAGAGAGAGAGAGAGAGAGAGAGAGAGAAAATTTGATATTAATCGATAGATTTTCCTCTCATTTTTTTTCAATTATTTTTCATTTTCAAATATACCACGTTCATTTGATTTGATTTCTCTTTTCATCATTATTTTTTTCTGTTATCAAATGTGGTTATATATAAAGAAAATTATTCTAGTGAACAATAACAGATGAAGAAGAAATGAAAGAAAAAAAAATAATAATTTGTATGAAAAAAAAGACAGGGTGAACAGAAGAAAAAAAAATATCAACGAAAGAATCACACACACAGAATCATGCATCCGTAAAACTTTTATATCGACAGTAAAAGATTGAACGATCAACCAAGTGATGTACAATCGAAGAGAATTTTTTTTTCACTTTAAAAAAAGTGAAAAAAAATTCTGAAAGGAAAGGAAAAAAAAATTTTGACAGTTGTCAATTAAAAACATCGATGTATCGACATATAGGACATTTTTTTTACATTCTTCTTGGGAGAAAAAAAAAAACCCAAAATCAATATAGAATCGTTGGAAGACGTTTGAGATTAATTAAAACATTAGCATCATCATCATCATCATCATCATGAGAATTGGAAGCCACTAACAACCGAATTCTGATTAGTTTTTTTTTGTTAGTTATTGCACACACCACTGAAACAAATGAAAATTTTTTTTTGCTAGTAATAAAAGTGTTAAGAAAAAAAATAATTATACAGGATACCACCACCACCACCACACGCACCATACACACACACACACACCCGATACATCACCCTAATTTCCGAGTGTGCAGCAGTAATGTCAGCTGTAACATAAAATGTGTGGTTAGAATTTTTTTTTTTTTGCTTTAATTAAAAACGATGATGATGATTAACAGCCAAATGAGAAAAGAGAAAAACGAATCGAATCCAAACGGATTGAATGCTGATGATGATGATGATGATGATGGCGGATTCGTGAGCAATATAAAAAAAGAATTTGGTTCGATTTTCTCTTTTTTTTTAGGATTTATAAATATCTGTGTGTGTGTGTGTGTGTGTGTGTGTGTGTGCATGTGGATGATAAATGGAAAATCGAATAATGGCAATAAATTTGAATCTCACATGATTCTGGATGATTAGTCGAGCCGAAACATTTCAGAATAGATAACGAGATGGCAAATGAAAAACCGAAACCAAAAAACAAAAAACAAAACAAAAAAAAAAAACCGTACACCGGACAATGGCAAAAACAATGGATATTGAAACCGGGAATCTAAATAATTCTGCTCGAATGAATTTGTTGTTGTTGTTGTTGTTGTTGTTGTTAACGAGAGAAACAAAAAAATAAATAGAATTCATTCGAATCAAATTTCGAATGAATTGATGACCGAAACCAAAATCTAAAACCAACGAACAAACGAAAAAAAAACCGTATAGATTTTGGATCACTAAACTGATTGACACACAGACGGACACACACACACACTATATATATGTATTGGCTAATAAAATAAATAGCCACATGGAAAGCAAAAAAAAAAAAAAAAGAATCCAAAAGAATCCTTTCGATAAGTAATCTTTGTACATGTGGGGGTAAGCGACGACTACAGGGCCAAATGAAACCAGCCAAATCTTTTATACAAACCAAAACAACAATATATGACCATCATCATCATCATCATTCAGAATTTTTCGACCATTTTTAATAATACCATTTGGTATGTGAAAGATTTAATTAAAACAAAAGACAAATCTTCATACAAACAGGACAGGACATATTATTTCGGTTTGATTCCAATAATAATCGAAAAAAATAAAATAATATTGTCCATTGGAAAATAGTATTGTCCATTGTGTGTGTGTCTCTGTGTGTGTCTGTTTCCCAAGTGGATGTTATGTAATATAAATATAACCAACTTGGTAATCTGGTTTCAAATCGAAAAAGCATAAAAGTTATTTGTTTGAATAAAATGGAATTAGAATATATACGAAAGAATCGAATTGAATTGAATGAATTTTTATATATCCACCAAATTGACAATTTTCATTTTTGTTTCAACATAATGATGATGATCATCATCATCGTTCAATTCTAGCTTTTCCATTAAATAAATGGATAAATAGACTATTTGAAACTTGAATTCATTAAATGCTGAGAGCTACACATAAAGAGAATATTCATAAATTTTATTAAAAATTTTCATTCCAATCATCATCGTCATCATTATTTGAAAAAAGAATTTTAAAAAAAGATTCTAGAAACTAGATGCTAGGTATTTGATTTTGAAGAAAAAAAATTTTTTCTCAAATCAAATATCACTATATCCTCTCTCTCTGTGTGTGTGTGTGTATAAGTGTTCCTGGATATATTTATTTGATTAAAAAATTTTTTTTCACAATTTCATCATATGATCATCACTAGGTCGTGTCCATTCATATATATATATAACGATTAGGTTTGTCATCATCATCGCTTGCTTGCTTGCTTGTCAACAAATTTTGCCTATGGACTCTTTTCAACAGCAATTTTTTTAGCTTTTTTTTTATTTGTAAAAATTCTCTCTCCCGCTCACTCTCCCATTCTCTCTTTTCTTACATCATCACAAAGTGGTGAGAGAAAAAAAAAAATTTAATTTCATTTGATGATTTCAACCATGACTGCTACCATTACACACACAGACATACATCTCAGATTGAATCTATATGTGCTATATGTATGATGATGATGATGGTGATGGATCAGAGTTTTAAAATTAAAACAGAAAAAATCCACTATCATCAACAGACAAGTAGAAGCACATTACATTCCGTTCCAAAATGAAAAAGTACCGTCATCATTATAAAAAAATAGTGAATGAATGAATGAAAAACAGAGGGTGACATTAAGGGAAATGAAAAAGAACCAAATGGGGGGCTGCATTCGTTTTTTTTGGTTATTCGAGAAAATCAAAATGAAATAATAATAAAAAAGAATATATATTGAAATTAAAAGTAACAAACCTTTTGGTTAGTATTGGCAATATTGAATTGCCGGAAGCACAATTGACACTCCAATCAAGAAAGCCACTTGGATTACAAAGTGTTATGCTGAAACGGCCAAAATTGGCTCGTAACACATCGATATGTTTACCATGTTGACATGACAATTCCAGTTGGCCATCTTCACAAACATAGGCCGTTTCACGAATCGATGACGACGATGACGACGACGATGTGGATGATGATGAATCAACATTTTGATTATTTACAAATAAAGATTTGTTGATTGTTGTTGTTGTTGTTTTTGATGACAATGACGATGATGTACCACTTGAATCATAAACAGCTGCTGATAATAATTTTGATGTGTCCACTGTTGATGACAATGATGATTGAAAACGTTTTTTACGTTTACCACCAATGATGATTGGATGATTGAAAAAATCTGTTTTTGTTGTCACTGTTGATGATGGTGATGATGGTGATGAAATGTCACGTTTTGGAACATGAAGAATTTCACTTGATTGAGATTCAACATGTTCAGATGATGATGATGATGATGGATCTGTTTTTTTTGTTCAATGAGAAAAAAAATGAAGAAAATTACAAGTTAATTCTGTAAAACAAACAAACAAACAAAAATAGAATTGCAGAATTCTAGAATTTCATTTTTCAATTTTTTTTTGTTCAAATACTCATTGTCCACTGTTTTCAGGAACATCAATGAACCAAAACTTTGTACTAGAGAGACATGAGAACTGAAGAGAAAAATGTTTATGTCAAGTCGAAGGTCTATCATTATTTTCACTAAGCAACACTACTCATTTTTTTCTGGTTATTGACCAGAACCAGAATATGAACAACAGTGTAGACTGGGGCAAACAAAATGAGAAAAAAAAGAGGAAACAAGAAAGAGAACAAAAATGTAATAAATCATCATTCGTTTTATATCAAATGATAGCATTTTGTTACTGATTTTCATTTTCATTTTTTTTTTCATCGTAACTAAATTCTGATTCTGGTGCTCTGGTGTTATTGACATGTGTGTGTGTGTGTGTGTGTGTGTGTGCGTTTGGAACTGAGAGGCAAGTTTCAGAGAATAACAACAACAACAACAACAATGACCACGACGACGACGATGATGATGATATTATCGATGACAATTCTCATAGCATGTGCCATGGATATTGTCACCAACAAAAATAAAAATGGACGGAACTTTCAAGAAGAGAGAAAAAAACAAATTGAATTGATGCAACAACAACAACAACAACAAAAGTGATCAAATAATGAAATGGTAAAAAAAAACTCCAACAAATGCTCAAATTATTATTCTTGCTCAAGAAAAAAAAAAAAAATTTTTCGGAATCGGAAGACCTCCAGATACTTTGAACTTTTCAACCACTCCATCATCATCATCATCATCAGCATGATCAATGGAGAGTTTTTCACGATTCCTGGTGTTCTGTTGCCAAATAGTTGTTGTTGTTGTTTTTGGGCCTGATAACCAACCAACTGCCACAATTGACCAGCAGCTGTGAAATTGGTTTGAAAATTTATTGTTTTTTTTTTTCGCCAAACAAAAAGTTAAAAGTTATAATCGAAAGTTGAAAGAATTGTAAAAAATGAATGAATGAACGAATGAAATCGGTCCATAGAGATGTTTGAAAATTTTCGATTTTTTGTTTTTCATTTTTCATTTAGAATTCAAAAAGCACACAAAAATCAATGAATGTCATTGGTGAACGTAAAAGTTAGGTAACGTTCAATGACCGTAATGACTAACTAAATGTCATCATCATCATCATCAACATTAAAGTTACGCCAAATTAATTCTGATCAACCATTGAATTGAAAAAAAAAAAAAAAATTGGATTTTGTGTAGCCAAAAATTAACGATAATTAGACCATACGGGATTCAATATATATTAGAACCAGATGAAAAAAAATTTTTTTTCCATATATTAACACACACACACACACACACAGTGTTTAGAGACAAATCCATTTTTCGATATTTTTATAAATTCCATACACGATACAGATTGCTCATCATTGAAAAAGAAGAATGGAAACGCCCATGATTTTCAAACCAAAAGAATTACTATCACTACCAGTAGAAATGACCTTTTTTACATACGCACGTTGTTGATGAGCGATCACAAGAATTGTAATAATGAAAAAAAAACAGAAAATTCCATTAAGTATAATCAAATGAATTTGCATGAATGAGAATCGGTTTTGTCAAACAAAAGTCGCCTGTCTATTTGTCTGTCTGTCTGTGAGATTCATATTCTTTTTTCTTCAATTCAGAAAAAAACAAATCAGTCAACGAAACCAAAAAAAAGGAATATTCATGAAAATTCATGAAAAAAACAGAATAAAAATGGAATGAACAAAACAAAAAAAAAAACAAAAAAATTCTTTCCATTTTTTCTTGCAAATGAACATCATCACCATCACCATCACCATGATCATCATCATCATCATCACATTGAAAAGTTTCATCATGATGATGATTCTATAGCAATGAGGATTTAATTTGTTTTCATTTTCACATTCCTAATCCAAACAACAACAACAACAAAAACTATGAACACAAACTGAACAGTGAATACTTTTTCAACTTTTTAAATTTTGTTTTTTTTACCTATTAAAATAAATTTTCGCATACTTTTTTTATTTGAACAGAAAAAAAAAAAAAAAAAATTTTGCCATTTATTCTACCGTTAAATTACTTTTCATTTATTTATTTATTGCAAACAAAAAAAAAGTGAAAAAATTCTCTTCGACGGCAAGAGAGAATATTCTTCAGGAGTTGATATATAAAAATTTAATTTAAAGTTAGAAAGAATAAAAAATGGATAGACAACAACAACAACAACAACAACAATAGAATGTATATATTACGAAAAAAAGGTTTTTGGATCAATAAATGGTATGGAATCACATTGTATCAATTGATGATGATAAAGTGAAGAAAAGAATCTCAATGATTCTTGATCGATAACAATAATAATCATCATCATCATCATCATCCATGGTGACAATTGATGAACATGAATTGTTTGTTCCCATTGTTAATGTAACCCGTAACAACCAGTATTGTTGAAGAATATTCATCCGAGAAATAAGTGACAATATTGAATAAGAGAATACAAAAGTTAATTTCATGGTTGTGATTGATATCAATTCTGTAGAATATAGAAGAAAAAAAAGGAAATTCATCAGAAAACAATTTGTTTCATCACCATCACCATCATCATCGTATTGTGAGTGATTTTCGTTCGTATAATGGATATTTTTCACATCACTTGATATCATTCACACCATATTCAAAGTTTGAAATTTTTTTTTTCATTCCATTTTCAGACAGTTTGTCTTTGATTTTTTGTTTGTCAACAATTCGACAAACGACCAGAATAAAGTGGAAAAAAACAAGAAGAAATAAATATTCTTGGCCTATTCGCACACACACACACACACACACAGAGAGAGACAGACAGACAATCAGATTTATTTACAGATCAAAGAACCAGAGAAATAAAACAGCCAAACCCAGAAAAGAATTTCAAAAAAAACTTGAACCAAAAAAATAAAACCAAGTTTCGTTTCGTTTTTTTTTTTTTGGTTGGAACTATGAAAAAAAAAAAAAAATTTAATTTTCAAATCAAAGCACGTTGTCACATCATCCACACACACACACACACACACATCCATACTTTGATCAAATCTAACAAACCATGTTCTATGACAAATATTCAGTATTCAGCTTGTCTATTCTTCTGTTGTTGTCGCTGTTGTTGTTGTTGTTGTTTAGCTGCAATTTAGACAACGGAATTCAGCTTGAATTGTTGTTGTTCTTCAATTCTGTTGCTGTAACTGTTACTGTTACTGTTGTTGTTGTTGTTATTGAGCATTTATACAATAATACGAGTATAGATGAAAAGAGAAAGAATAAAATTTCGAAAATTCCACTAACCAAAAAAAAATATTCGATGACACTCAATTCAAACAAACACACACACAGAGAAAGTATTGAAGAATAAAAAAAAATTTTCTCTTTTCACCCCAAAGATAAAAACACAATTGTGTAAACAGATTCAAACACACAGACAGACAGAGAGAAATACCAAGGGGAAAGAACATTCAATATCAAATCAATGGTGTGTGTGTGTGTCTGTGCATACACACTCAGAATCCAAAAAAAAACCAAAATCAAAGTCGATTTGGTATTTATTGGATTATTTGTATATATATAGAATATTCTATATGAACACACACACACACACACATAGTGAATAATATAAGATTGTGAAGTGAATATTATATTTATTTTTTTCAATTCTCGTTCAAAGAAGTTTTTTTTCATATATATTCGTTCATCAAAGTTTGTTCTCTAAGGCTGATTTTTTTTCAATGATGGAAAAAACAGGAACCAAACAAACGAAACATCATCATCGTCTTCATCAGATGAGAAAAAAAAACACGAAAAGGCAAATTGCCTGAATTAAGGAAAAAAAACTTTGAAAAAGTAAAACTTTTCTCTCTCTCTCTCTCTCTGTCTCTCTGGTAGATTCGATCCAAAAAAGAATTTGAAATTGAGCTAGGTTTCTCGTCATCATCATTATTATTGATGATGATGAAATCATTCACACACACAAATAAATAAATAGAAATGTGCTAAGAATTATTTCTTACAGACAGCAGAAAAAATAAAAAATTGATTTGAATGAATTTGACATGATAACAAAAAAAAAAAAAAAAATTTCTCTTCTTCATCGATTCATTCATTCATTGAACAAGATTGACACAATCAAACAATTTCCAATAAACATTGGCCAATGAATTGGCTGCTGGTACTGGTGGTGCTGGTGGTAGCTAGATACCGTATGGTTCCATTTATCGAACCAGAAAAAAATAACCAAATTGAATGAATCCAAATAAATGGAAAAAAGAGAAAAGCTATAGCTAAATCATTCAAGTGTGTGTGTGTGTGTGTGTGTTTGTGCATAATATCCAACAACAACAAACAACAACAACAACAACAAAGAATGGTATTCCAAAAAAAAAACTTTACTTAATGTAATTGCTCACCATTATTATCATCATCATCATCATCATGAGAATACATGGAAGAATATTCTTTAGATCTATGGTCCTTTGAGTTTATTTTTTTCTGTTGTTGTTGTTGTTGTTGTTGTTGTTGTTATTACAAATTTTCTCTCTATACAAACAACACACTCTATTTTTATTCAAAACATTTATTTATCGATAGTCTGTGTGTGTGTGTGTGTGTTGTGTATCGATATTATTATTATGGATGGATGAATGGATGGATGGATAGAACATTATTGAATGTTGAAAAAATAAAAATGACGAAATACGATGCCAATTTATAGACAAAATAATGATGATGATGATGATGATGATGAAACTATTTCATTGGATTTTATTGTTGATCCAACGAGAGAGAAAAAAAATACTAGACCGTTGAAATATTTTCAAATGAATCCTTGCCGATCATTTTTTTTTGTTTATTGGATCGGGTTCGAGTTCCATCAT